TCCTGCCATCTTGTGGCTGTGGGCACCGCCATCTTGGAAGGTGTGGTAGTCAATTAGCACATTCCTTCCTTATTGGCTGTGGGTGCCACCATCTTTGAGTATGGGGCAGTTAGCATATTCCCTCCTTATTGGCTGTGGGTGCCACCATGTTTGTGATGGTGTGAGGGTCAATTAGCATATTCCCTCTTTATAAGATAGGATGAGAAATTATTAGAGGATTATATTTTTGTAAGTACTTTTATTTTGAATTATTGATTTTTTTACAGGAAGGGAGAGGGATGGAGTTAGAAACACCAATGAGAGAGAGAGATATCAATTAGCTGCCTCCTGCACACCCCCCACTGGGGATGTGCCCGCAACCAAAATACATGCATGCCCTTGACCGGAATCGAGCCTGGGACCCTTCAGTCCACAGGCTGACGCTCTATCCACTGAGCCAAACCAGTCAGGGCTGTAAGTACTTTTTTAAAGTGTCTCCATTTGTATACTAGACAGTGTTACTCAGGTAGTAATCATCCAAATTGTATAGCATACAGGCCATTTGCAAGTTTGCAGCCATATTCCTCGGTTTCTTGTCTTTTTGCCAAAATTTGTAGGCATTAAAGGGGAACTGGAGAAAGGGAAGAATAATTCTGATATTTGATCAATATAAAGTCTTAATGCTTTCATAAAGATTTTAAGTGGGAAGGACTAAAATAGTTTAAAAATGAGGTTTTAAGCTTAGTTATAAATTTTATATAGCTGGTGGCTTTTCTTTTCCTTATTTAGAACATCTCCATTTATGATGAGAACAGTATATAGGAAGAAGCCCTTCCCAATCCCCAGTGGGATTCCCTCTGCGAGAAGTTTTCTTGAGGAGCAATGATATACCAGGAATAGGAACTGATGCATCAGAAACTCCCAGCTTCCTTTTCTTTGGCATCTCTGTTAACAGGCTCCAAACCTCAACCTCTCATTCACTGATTCTCAGGACGCTACCTGAGGAAGTTCTTCACACAAAGACTTCAGACTTGGAAAAGAAAAGCATGGAATGCAAAACAGAATAGATAAGACATAAAATGAACTCTCAGTATGATGGGAAAGGGAACCCCAGAATGATGGCTGGCTGGCAGAGCAGAATAGTTCCCTTCACAGTGGTTCTCAACCTTCCTAATGCCGCGACCCTTTCAGTTCCTCATGTTGTGGTGACCCCCAACCATAAAATTATTTTCATTGCTACTTCATAACTGTAATTTTGCTACTGTTATGAATCGTAATGTAAATATCTGATATGCAGGATGTATTTTCATTGTTCGCGACCCACAGGTTGAGAACCGCTGCTTCAGAGACTGGAGCAGGATGGAGGGCTTGGGAAGTGTGTCCAGAGCTGCTTGACCTCCTGTTGGTGTATACCATATGGAGAATATGTTTACTGCTCTGTCAGAAAGTAGGGAACTGGATTAGTGACAGAACAGTGAAACCTCAGCACATGGAAACATAGAGAATTAGTACCTAGAAAACAAAGTGTTACACAGTAAAAGGAACATATAGTCTGTTATGTAGCTTAGATGGTAGTATTGATGCATCATAATTTAAACATTAAGCATATATTTATCCCATTAAGCATGTATCTAACCCTATTAGAGTAGTTCTGTACAGACATATTAAGTTGCTAAATTAAAAACAATTGTCCCTTGGGTAGAATTTTTGAAGAGCCAGGAGAGCGCATAAACCTCATAGATTTGTATGAATTTTAAAATTATATACATTTATTTCTTGAATAATGTGTCAAATTTTGTTCTTGGTTTCTCTTACTTTCCTTACATTTCTTATAGTGTAGGCATATTGTTGCACACAGTGTCATTCCTTAAATTGAGGGCAATTTGGGGTGTGATTTAGACTGTTACTTTCATCTTGCAGATAGATTTAATCATACCATGCCATTCCATAGTTTATTAGTAAACTGTTTCAAAAAAGTTTATTCATCAATTTCTGATGGTGAAGTTGATATATTGCTACTCTTAAGAAAAAATAAGATTTTATAATGTCAGAGACCAGGAACCATTAGAATACTTCTTGAGCAGCCCCTTCATTTTTCAGATGAAGAACCTGAGGTCCAGCATGGTTAAAGGATTTACCCAAACCCACTCAGCTGATTAGTAGCATAGAGGAGATTAATTTTCACTCACAATATCTTAGAGTCCTGCCAGTTCATATTATACCAGGAATCAGATTTAGATTTTAATAGAGCAGTTTTTGTGAGTGCGTGCCAAAACCAGCAAAATCTCGTACTCAAAATTATTCTGCGTGCCAACCCTAATTTTTTGAGAACATGTTATGCCTTCTTGATATCTCTTAAGGTGTACGTATGTGAAGAACCTTGAAGAAATAATAAAATTCATTCAAGCGACAAAAAACACAGTATATGACAGCTGTGGGCAAACTACGGCCCGCGGGTGCCCTTCTGAAATGAATAAAACAAAAAAAAAGAGACCGTACCCTTTTATGTAATGATGTTTACTTTGAATTTATATTAGTTCACACAAACACTCCATCCATGCTTTTGTTCCGGCCCGTCAGGCTACTCTTATTACGAGACTTAACAAAATTCATCACTGAGAACAAAGATTCACAAGCGTATGTGGATGAAACCAAAACACTGGTCAGATCTAGGAAGGCAGAGAGAGTTAAGGCAGAGGCACAGAAATTGCTCTTCCCCTCTCTCATCAATCCATGTCTATGGTCTTTAAGATAACTTATATGTTATGTAAAATTATTTAAGATGCACCTACACTGAATTTATCTGAAAAATAAAAAAGTCGATATTAAGAAAAACATTGTAAATGGAAGATTATAAGAGAGGGTTTCGCGTGCCAGCAAAAGTTACTGGTGTGCCATGTTTGGCACATGTGCCAGGGGTTGCCCACCCCTGTAATAGAGGGTCTACTAATCAAGAACTCTGTTGTGACACATAACTAGTTAATCTAGGTAAATAGCTAGATAAAATACTCGAATAAGATCAATTAGTTGCTCAAACTATCCTATATAATAAAAGCCTAATGTGCAAATCAACCGAACAGAGGAACAACCAGTCACTATGACGTGCACTGACCACCAGGGGACAGATGCTCAACGCAGGAGCTTCCCCCAGAGGAAGGCAACTGGAGGTGACGGCTGGCAAGTGGATGGTGCTAGACTGGCCAAGGCGGTGCCAGTGGGAGTCCCCCAGTCACCCCGCTGGTTGCCCCATAGATCAGCCCTGATCACCGACCAGGCCTAGGGACCCTACCCGTGTATAAATTTTGTGCACCGGGCCTAAGTTCTAAGTAAAGCAAGGATTCTGTGATGGAATATATTCAAGAAATGCTGTGTATAGCATCTGTCATGGTGCATGTTACCATGAAGGGATTTGGGAAGTTCCATAGAAAGCATTTTTTTGATCCAAAATGCTCTTTTGGAGAAAGTGTTTCACGGAACACAATTTGGTCAAACCTGGTGTGCAAGTCAATGTATATTAAAAATTTTTATGAGCAAAAATTTAAAAAATATACCTACTGTTGTATGATTCTTTGCAAATCACAGAAATTTGTATAATTTAGTAGCTTCATTTATTTTTCTCATGTACAAAAGGCTTGTGCATCGAGACGACTGCTTGGATAGAACACTTTATCCCCTTCTTATCAAGAAGCATTGGCTATGGACCAGAAAATGTTTTGTTTGTAAAATGTACACAGCCAGGTAAGTGGTTATCTGTGTGTTTTTTTCAGAAGTATTGATTTTCAGTTGAGTATTTTTTACTTTGATTTTTTTTTTTTCTGAGTTGAAACTGAGGGCTTATACTTTGGAGTGTAAGTAATATAAAGGGTTTTCCTATTTAGTAGGGAAGTGCTGCAGAACAGTTTAATAGATTACAACCGCATTTTAAAACATCTATAGCAGAAGTCCAGGGATAGGTCAAAATGTTCAGTGTCATCAGGGAACCATGTGGTGTTCCTCCGCTAGTTGCCCTTTTGCCTTGTAGAGTATTGCTGGGTGATCTGTCTGTATATATGTGCAGAAAATCCTATAAAAGATTATAATTATGAATAAGATAGGATAAACTAATAGTGGGAATGTTACATTTACATATTACAAGTCATAATTCACAGCAAGAGAAAGTTGATGATCTTTTTTTTTTTTTAAACTACAGATGGGTGACCAACAATGACAGTTTTGCACCAGATGATCCATGTTTCTTTTGTGATGCTTGCTTCCGAATGCTTCACTATGACTCAGAAGGCAACAAACTGGGGGAATTCCTCGCTTATCCTTATGTTGATCCTGGAACCTTCAATTAACCAATAAAAAGTGTACACTCTAGGAGCATGATCAACCTGACACCATCAGCTAGTTACCCCTACTCCACCCCCAAAATTTGAAATTACAAATTTTCTTATAAAGTAACTTGATTGTATTTAAATGCTTAAAAATATATTTTACTATTTATCACACAATATAGTTCTTACTCAGTTCAGTGCATTTTGCCCATCTTAGGTGTATTTATCTTACAGAAGGAGCACTTTATATATTGAATACAAATCCTTTGCCATCTATGTATTCTGATTTTCTCCCAGTCTGTGGCTTGCATATTCATTGTATCCTCAATGCTTTTTTGCTAATCATTAGCAAAATTCAATTAATGTTACATCAAGTGGTGGAAGTACTTGGAAAATTATTTGAAGAATGTGAACACCATACATCATGAGGCTTCCAAGGTAAAGATTTTTCAAGTATCTAATAAAAATTAGGAAGAATAAAAGTAGATTACTTAATAAATACAATATTAATAGCTATTGTGTAATTTAATCTCACAGAGGACTCTTGTTTTGGTAGAAAGTATGTACAATAAACATTTTATTTTAAAACATATTTATTGATTTCGGTGAGGGAGAGGGAGATAGAAACATCAGTGATGAGAATCATTGATCAGCTGCCTCCTGCACACCCAACATTGCAACCCTGGCATATGCCCTGACCAAGAATCGAAACATGACCTCCTGGTTCATAGATCGACACTCAACCACTGAACCATGCTGGCCAGGCAGTACAGTAAAAACTTTAATAGACTCATTACTCTAAAAAGATCTTGAATATATACTCATGGCTTTACAGAAGTACCATTTATATTAAAGCTTTGTTTTTTGACTTTGTGAATCAAATGGTATGAGTTTAAAGTGTATGTCGATTTAATGTTTTTATGCTTCAAAGATTTCATGTACTATGACTACCTGGACATGGAAAATCAAGATCCTATGGATTGCTAGCTCTGGTTCACTTATTCTTGGGCAATAATACTCAGTATTTGGTATATAAAAAGAAAACACAAGTGTTTTTTCTGCTCAGCTCTTCATTCTTTTGGCTCCCTGACTATGATAATTCTATTTATTCTCTTCTCTCATTCTGGGCCAAACAGCAACTATGATAAATTCCAAGGTTTAGATCATCAAGGAAATTGTAGCTCCTATTTTGAAATGTTTTCTGGAAACCTTTTTTAGTTTTTTGGTAGGAAATTAAAATGTTATTTAAAACTTCACTTTCCTTCTAGGTTATATTTATAAATTCGACTGAATTCCGCACTCCCTGGATGGGTAAGAACAGATATTTACCATAGAAATAAACTGATGAAGCGTCTAAGCCTATGTGTTTTAAAGGTTGGCAGTAAAATATTTTATGGACTTAAATGCAACATCCCCAATTAAGTCTATTGGTGTCAAGACCACAGCACCTGTTTCTGGTACATCTAGCGGTGTATTCACTGATTTCAGTCAGTACACCAGAGAATATAAATAACTAAGCAGTTGGTCCCAATAAGCTATTGCCTAAATTTTTACTTTCATGTTTCCAACGATGCTAAATTGTACTGATTTAAAATTCTGCTGGAAAACCAGATTTACCCAATTCCTCAAAGTTCCACAGGTAAAAACGAATTTATAGTTAAACTGCATTCCTTATAGGTTTTACATTAGTATTTTTTTTTTACTCATTTTCATCACTTCATATTGTCAAAACCAAAATTCCAGAAATTATCATAACAGAAGCATTAATCCATGTCTGGTGCCAATCAGTTTATTTTAGCGTAAAAGAAGATTGTTAGTTAAAATAATACTATTATTGAAATTCTTGTTTTATCATTTACTTAGAATATTATCCTGCTTAAGGTTAATTTTTTCACCAATGTTACAAAGGTTTAGATATCTGCTCTCATTTTATTGTAATTTTTGGTATGTTTTTGGAAAGCATTTTAACAGAGTAAATTAGGCATGATTCAGCACAATCAATTGTTGGTTTTCTAAAAGGCTAATCCAACCAAGTTACTCCCAGAATTTGTCAATGTATTATATATCAGTTAAATAGATCTCTCAGCTTTCACACAGGCATAAAACATACCTTGTGTCAGGGATTTTATAGCTGCAAATTTCAGTATTAAATACAACATGACTAAATTTACTTATTTTATCTAATGAAGAAAACAAATGTCAAAATGTAATGAACTTGAATTAACATCCTCTGTATTTAGAAACAAATTAGATTTTGACATAATGGATATAGTCATGTACAAAATCACTGTCTATAAAAGCAATGCCTATTTCCTTAAACATCTTTTTAAGGGTAATTTGACATCTATTCCGATCACATCACAATGTCTATCATCTCTAAGGTTATAATGCAGCACAAATCTGAACAAATTTCTGCCAATACAATTGGTTCTTTTCTTAAGGTGTAATTATGGATTTGCTATTTCCAATAGATCACCCTTTCTCTGGCCAGTCCAGTGGGACAAAAGTTATTGAAGCCTTCAGAGCCCTGTAGAAGCTTTTGCTCTTGTACAGGCCATCTCATCCTGACCTGGCGTCTTCAACCAGGTAAGTGTGAGAGTCTATTTTATTACCCTACTACTTGAAACCACATGACATAATAACAGTTATAAGGCTGAAGGTATTCCAATCAAGCTGTTTACACAGATAAAGTCTGATTCAGGTTCTCTGATTCAGATGGTACTTCTGAAAGTTTTCCAAAGCATGTGAGAAAACCAACAATTGATTCTGCTGAGTCATGCCTAATTTACTGTTAAAATGCTTTCCAAAAACATACCAAAAATGTGGAGTAGTGGGTGGTGGGGGCAGTCCTAGCTCTCATTTAAATTATCTTTTAAGTGACTTGTCCAGTTGTGGAATTTTGACCAAGTACACAATTTAAATTAAGCAACAAGTTGAACATACTCTTGGTAAGCTATGAAGTCCTGCTGGGTCACAGAAAAAAAAAGGGAGGGTGAACAAAAATAACATTACCTTTATTTTTGACATTTTGAGCTTGTTAGTTTCCCTGTTTCTCCAAACAACATGATATCTATGACAACGTTAACTAAGAAATTACTCCCTTGGAAGCAAATCCAGAATTCCAACACATTTTTGTACATAGCAAAGAAGTAATTTACTAGTACAGTTTAATAAAAAAATTCTTTAATCAAAAGAAGTTTACATGTTGACACTTATGGCTTTACTAGAATAATCTGTCCAAATTTTAATTGTGCTAAGGATCAAACAAATATAATAGCAAAAGTTCCCTCAAAACATACTGAGTCCTAAGCTTCCATTCTAAGACCTCTCAAAATTAAAATTCCAACTACTGAAATAATTTAACTTTTCATCAAGCGATGAAAACAAAATTATCTGAGCAGTCAAAACATACAATGTATGCCACATGCAAACACTTAAGCAGTAAAAGCCTTTTCTCCATAGTCATTGTTTCAAAACAGAAGTATATTTTAGCTACTAAAAACCAACTGACCTCATCAAATAATCTTAGAAGTACTATCTGTTAAAAGTTAGCTTTAAGTCTTTTGGGTTACTTGGTTCACCCTGATTTATTCCATATAAGTGAATGTTCAGAATATTAAAAAAAAGCTAAATGCCACTCCTTTGTTTACTGCCTCAAAGCAACGAATATTTCCATTTTTGCAGTCCTGTCACATGTATGATCTGGAAATAAAATTCCTTTTGATATGGCCATTTTCAAATAGGTTAATTTCCTTATATATTATTTACTGTATAAGCATCATGGGTTGTTTTCCAATTAAAAAAATACTCCTCAGTGACTTTAATGGGTGGCTTTTTAAAAAAATTCAGAAATGTCTCAAAAATAAACTTATTTAGTTTTCAGTTTCAGCTGTACAGTACATGTAAAGGATCTTATTAGATGGCTGAACCCTAGAGCCAGATTCTTTCCTGTATACAGCCATTCTGCTCTCTGCAGGAAAGTCACGTGACTGTTAAATTCCCAGCCACAAAATTAAATTAGCTTCTAAAGTTAACATTGAGTTTTGTACCTTGTGGAATTGTTAGTTCAATGTCAGTTGGATATCTAGTTGTCATACAAAAAGGCATACAGACCACACATTGTTACAAAGCAGCAGATAATATCACACAATGTAGACTGAGATTAATTTTAGATAGCAGGGAGTAATTATATAGAACTAATATTTTATCTACCATAAAAATGTGTAACCTACAAAAACCACAAACAGTGAAAAGACAGTCTGTAAATCCAAGTTTGTAAAAACTATGCACAAAACCCACAGTATTGGGGAAAAGAGGAAATTTTATACAAGTAGCAGTTTTAAAAATGTAACTTTTTTCTACTATCAATTACACATTAACATACATACACTAATTAAAAATATGCTACAACCAATGTCTTGAAAAGCAGCTCAACATTTCCTAAATGACTTTTCCCTCACATTTACTGTATAATGGAGCTGTTAATACTGCACAAGTACAATTAAGCAATGTTTAATTACTTTTAAACAAAGATAAAGGCATTTCCTCCCTAAAACAAGTTTAAACATCAAAACCTATGTTTATAAAAATTTAAAACTTTCAGCAGTCTAAATATTTCTAATGAAAACCATTACAAACTTCTCAAATGTTCTTTATATTCCAGGTATGTCAACCTAGTTATCTAGCGCAGAATCCTTCAGAGATATTTCAGTCTCTCTCTCTTCACTGGATGGCCTAAAGAAAAGTGGGGGGAAAAAGGTGTGACAACTGGGATTAGGGGATTTTTTTTTAAAATCACCAAAGATTCAGAGTTACTATTTTTGGTTGAAACTTTTCTTCTACCATGTTCTATCTTCCCAATAATATGCAGATCAAGCACTGTATCTCAGGGAAGCATCAGGCCCTTTCTATCATTTCCGCTTTAAAATGAAAATGTTATATGCCTGTGATACCAACATACTACCATCTTTATTGAAAAGACGGGATGTTACACACAGACAGGATTTCCCTGAATTTCAGAATTAGAAGGGATGCTTGATTCCTAGTCTTACTATACTGTGGAACAAACGAAGAACTTTGTAACCATGGTTCCATACCTAGAGTGGGTATCATAATACAAAATATCCTGAGATTCTAGATCTAATTTTTTATTATCCTGTCACAATTCAAGAAAGTATGAACATAAGTCATTATTAAAGGTATATTTAGTTAACTTAGTCCAAGAAAGAAGTTATTTTTTAAAGACTGGATTCCTGCCTAGCTATTCCCTTGAATACAATGGCAAATTAGTGGGAAATAAAGTTTTTTATGATTTTGCCTTTTTGATTTGCATCTTGTTTACTGAATACAGGAACTGAATGATCAAAATATAATCCCTTCTACAACCAGCCTTGGAACAATGATGTGATTTAAAAAGCAAACACATTACAACCCATTAAAACATGTCCTCACTTTTTCTTACTGCTGGTCTCATCTCTGCTTTCTTCATTGCTATCTCCATTATGTTGTGGTTGATTACTGTCTTGAGCATCAGATCCTCCATTTAGAGTCTTTGAACCTTTAGAAGGAGTCCAATAAAAAAAACTGTTAGAGCTTCTAATACTTTAGATATCCTCTAAAGATCAAAGTCAAAAATAAAACATGGCCCTGAAATTTCTAATACTTAATCTGTTTTATTTGTGATCCTTAGGGTAGAGCTGAGGCACACAGTAAGAAGCAGGGTTGCTGCACATATTCACAGGAACAGGAGGTTATCAGCAAGAGGGTAGTACAGCTCTTTGGAGCATTATGATTCAATATATTTCTCAGGGAAAAAAAAATCTCATATGTCATTACTGATATTTCAGAACAAAAAATGTCAAAAATAGTACTACCATGATTTTGTGCCCTATTACTAAGTAAACAATAAGGCCTTCCATGTAAACTTAACTAAGAACACCTATATAGATTCCCTAATAAATGAGCACAACATCCTTCTGAATGTTGGTTTCTACATAACACAACATTTCGGGTACTGATTCTGTTTTAACCCCTTCCCCGGCAGAAACGTGTATACTCGTTTTCACAAAATGTTCTTTTTCAGTCGTCGACGAGTATACTAAGAAAATATGGTAAAAAAATATGGTTTATAGGAAGACGAGTTACAAACTGTTTTCATAACCAGCATCAAAAATACTATATAGAACCAAAATAAAAAAATTAGTCTGAAAAAGAAACGTTTTTAACAAAAAAATTGTTGGGGAAGGGGTTAAGAGTCTATCACAGATAACATCCTAAAATACTTAGGTTCAAATGGCATTATCCAGAATTTGCTTTGATACAATCTTCAGGGGTGTCACAGAAAAACGTGATGGGGCTATACGATAGCAATGGTCACTTGTATAACTGCTCAAGTTGGTGATAGAGGGACATAGAAAGTTCATTTCTCTTTTGTGTAGGTAAGAAATTTTTCCTAATTTCAATTAAGGAAATAACTACTAATAGTGTTGATCTTTGAACAACATGGGGTCGAACTGCAGTATTTCAATGAATACTGTAAATATATTTTCTCTTTATGTTTTCATAACTTTCTTTTCTCAAGCTTACTTTAAGAATATAGTATATAATACAGACACAAATTATGTGTTGACTGTTGCCATTAAGGCTTCCAGTCAACTGTATGCTATTAGTAGTTAAGTTTTGGGGGGAGTCAAAATTTCTATGTGGATTTTTTACTGCAAAGGGGGTTGGCACCCCTCATGCCCACATTGTTCTGCTATATGCAGAAGAGACCTTTTTGTAATTTAATGTAGATAAGGTATTAATGAGAGATATCAAAGCCATTTTCTTAAAAGCAGTCCCAACAAAGAATTTACCACACACATACCTGTTTGTTCCTTTTCTAGCTTTTTGTTTGGCCCTTTCTTCCCTTGATCTTTGGTTTTATTTGCTTCTTCATGCTGTCTTTGTTCGGCAAGAGATTTATTCAGTACCTGTGTGATTACTGAATCTCCTTCACCAACCAAAAACATGTTCTTAAACTTGTTATACAACATGGTAGATTTTTCCATGATAACCTGACTCACTTTGAATCGTCGTATCTAAGAAAACAAAATACATTCATAATTATTTTCCCAATTGATTTTTAAATGTTACTTTTTAATGAAGTTGGTTTTGAAGAAATTTAAAAATCAGCATGACTTAAGATCACTTACTTTTTTCAATGTTGTAATCATCTCGGTGTGTTTCTGAGCTTGTTGCATTGTGACCTGAAGTGAAGCTAGTTCATCCAAGGCCTCAATACATCTCTCCACATCCTTTATAAAATAGTAATTTTATAACTGTTAATTACCACAACCTTTATGACCTATTTTTAAATATTACTTTTAAAATTTCAAATAACAAGGCAGTATAAAATAACCAGTGATAGTCCCTTTTACCTTAAATTTATCCATATTTATAAAACCATGTGAGAAAATGAAGCTATAAAAGCAGCACTGTATTTTTAAATGAGGTAAACACTTACAAGATTATCAATTTTGAGTGAATTTTTTATTTCAGCATGTATCCTTTGAAGTCGAGAATCCATTGATGTTTCTATAAATTAAAATGTGAAACAGTAAATAGTTTTTCCAAAACCAGTTTTTCTGTATAACATAAGCAAAGTATAATGGAAAGATCTGGTGAACTTTTTAAATGTTCTTTATCTTCCTGCATCACTAAGAAGTTATCTGTCATTCTTAGTATTTGGTTTAGAAAAGCAACATTCATTATATAAGAGAAAACTCGCCATCTAGCTTCATATTTGTAAAATAAACAGTCCGTACCCAATGGAGTCTTAATTTTTAAACATCTGCTTCATCTTACACGTTTAAGGAAAAACACAATTTCTATCTGAAACCATATTTGTCAAAAAATGGGAAAAGACCTAGCTTTTGACAATGTTACAAAAATTTGACTTATCAAATAATGAGCATTAAAATAAATAACTCTTGCCCTAACTGGTTTGGCTCAGTGGATAGAGCGTCAGCCTGCGGACTCAAGGGTCCCAGGTTCGATTCTGGTCAAGGGCATGTACCTTGGTTGCGGGCACATCCCCAGTGGGGAGTGTGCAGGAGGCAACTGATTGA